TGATATCTTGTTAAATATTCCAACTCCACCTAACAAAATCTTTAGTAGTCATCTTTCTTGCACAGCAGCTCACGCCATCTGACAACGTGAAATCATCCTCTTTCAAACTCAAAAGCCAAGTGTAACTTCTGTCCTGGTCCCTGTTTCCGGGGACACTTTACAAAATCAAGATTAGCAGCTGTGGGTCCTAAGGCAAGCCCTATTAGTCAGGTTTAGATGGCAGTATATTCATAAAAAATTACTTAACGTATGTTCTAACACAGCTAGGTTTCAAAAAAACAGAAGGGTTATGCTTATTTGTCATACATACACCCTTCAACCAAAGTGAATAGGCGGTTACATAACTTGCCAGGACAAGTTGCCGAAACGAGTCAGACATAGGACCAACCCTATTAAAACTGTGAACTAGGCAGTTTGACTTCAGTGCCACACCCCTTTAGTACTACAGACACTTCCTGGATCCCCTCCCTTGGTATCACTAGCCCCTAGGGTCACCTTCACACCATATACTTCTCTCCACCCCCTCTGCAAAATTCCTTTTTTCTTTCTCTCTTCCACCGAAACTACCCTTCCCTCTTTCCTCCTTCCCCTTCATTAATTAAAATTTACTGCTCCAGTATCTCTCTCCCTCAGGGTTTAAAGAGACAACTACCTAATCTGATAAGCCAATCTACATTAATGTGTGAAGAGAGAAAGTGAGAAAGTGAAGAGAATTTTAACTATGACTTTCTAAAGATATCTCCTTTGTAATGTAACTTATTAGTGGATAAAGGTGAGAATTTCCAACGGAGAAACTTAGGAGAAGCAACTGTTTTTGATTCAGGTAAGGCCTTGAAGCACCTAGCAAATCAAGTGGGAAGAGGTGGCTGCTTTTAGCCTAACATTGTAGCCAGCTCTAATCAGAGTAACTAAATAACCCCGGGTCAGTTTGGGGCCAGTGGGGAAAACTGAAAACCAGTTTAGTGCCCAAAGCAAATTGCAAAGAAAAAGTTGCAAAACCAAGTGAGCAAAGAAAAGTCAGTTACTGGAGCACTGCAATTAAATTTTTCTAACTTAGTCTTTCGTAGGACTACCTAGTCCTGGTACCTAACAAACATTTTCCAGTTTCTCTTCAGAATGAAAGCAATTATTTAACACCCTCATTTGAAGTCTAAAACATTAGCTATTTCCCAACACTCATATAGTTTTTTTTTATTTTTAAAAATAGTGGTTTAAAGTTCTCAGATTTCATACACATATTTATTTGATGCAGCTGAATACTAAAGGAATGTTACAGAATATCATGTGTTTCATGCATTAGTTATTTATTTTCTTCCCATTTTAGAATTAGACCCCAAAGTTAAGCAGCTTGCTGAAATTTGCACTCAGGTCTTCTAAGTAAAGATTCTGTTCTTTTCAAGGTACTCAGCTACCAGACTGCCTCTCACCATTTGTTATCCATGCCTTTGCTGTCATGTAACTCTACATCCTAGGGGAATTCTCAGATTTTAAAGAGGGTTCAGCTACTACCAACAGAAAAATAGCCTGGTTATTCAACAGACCTGAGGGTAATTGTAGTCCTATCTGGTTTCTATCACTGGATTTTTTTCCCTGGCTAATTCTTGGTTCACATAGAAGTGTTAGTACTGCCTCAAAAAGTCTTCCTTAAAACTGTCAGAGCTTGCGCTCCAATTACCTGCTCATGTTTTGGAGGATTACTTATCTTGCTTCTGCTCCTCACCTGGGCAAAGTTCCCATCACGGTCCTCACCCTGGAAGAATAATATGTTTCTGGGATTCAAGAGAGGAAAAACACTAACATAGTTGGTACAAGCCAGAATACAAATATTTCATGTTGAGAGGAACACAAGAAGCCAGCTGGGAAAACACTGCGATTTACAGATTAGGATCAGCCCAAAACTCATTTCTGCCTTTGAGGTAAAAGGCAGCATTTTTAAGTCATTGGCATTTAAAACACATCTTAATATTCTGGAAAGATAGAAACCCTTTGAGTATTTGTCACATTATACGGGAGCTTTTCCTAGAAAAGCACAATCACACGTACTTGGAATACAGTCTTAGGGGTCCATTATGGGGTAGCCCATGAATCCCATGTGAAATATTCCTTACTAAGGGCATGTCACATCTAAGGATGCTACTAATGATGATCTCACATGATGAACATCCTAAGCCCAGTTGAAGTTGTGTTAAGGCCTGCTTTCTAATTCCTTTATTATTATTAGAAGTGATCTATATTGGCCTGTTACAAAAAAGTAACATATGATCGTTGTAAACATTTAAAAGAAAACAATTCAGGAACACAGTGTTTTCTGTCACTGTAATCCTCAGAGAAACAGTAACAGTATAAATATCTCCATATATATTTATAGATATGTGTGCTTTTATACAAAAATCACATCATCCTGTATAGCAACTTGATATTACATTAGACAATACATATATGGGTGGGCCATCGTTTAATGATTCTATTATGGACATTTGTTTTCAGTTTTATGACTACCAACATACAGCACAAAGTCCTTGATTGGGGCATGTGTTCGTCATAGTGGTTAGATGGCTGCTAGGGACACCCACATCCCACACTGGAGTGCCTGGTTTGACTCCAAACTCCTTTGCTTCTGATCCAGTTTCCTGCTAATGTTCACCCTTGGGAGAGGCACCAAGTGATGGCTCAACTAATTGGGTCCCTGTCACCTACATGGGAGACCTGCACTGAGTTTCCAGACTCCTGGCTTTGGCCTTACACACCTCTGGATTTTTGCAGGCAATTGGAAGGTAAACCAGTGGGTTAAAGTTCTCACTTTGTGCTTCTAGCTCTCTTTCAAATAAAATGAAAATAAAACAAAAATTTAAAATAAAAATATTTGATATCTGATTATATCTATAATGTATCTATAAGATAAATTTCTAAAGTAGAATAAATTAAAGGATATAAACTTTATATATTGTGACATTGAAGTTGCACTCTCAAATGGAATACAGTTTCTGGGGTGGGTGTTTGGCCTCACTGTTAAGACACCAGTATGGGGAAAAGCACTGTGGCACAGTTGGTTAAGCCACTGCCTGCAGCATCGGCATCCTATTTGGGTGCCGGTTTGAGTCCCAGCTGCTCCACTTCCAACCCAGTTCCCTGTTAATGTGCCTGGGAAAGCAGTGGAACATGGTCCAAGTCCTTGGGCCCCTGTACCATGTGGGAGATCTAGAAGAAGCTCCTGGCTCCTGGCTTCCAACTGGCCCATTGGGGCCAGCTGGGGAATGAACTAGCAGATGGAAGATGTCTCTCTCTGTCTCTCCTTCTCTCTGTAACTCTTTCAAATAAATAAATAAATAGTTTTTTAAAAAAGACACTAGTATCAGAATGCCTGGGTTCATTTGCATTATTGAAATATTGCTATCGACCTATGATAATTTCTCTTCATTTTGACAATAATTCTTATTAAATTTTGGCATATCATTTGCAATGTAGTTCTGTGTTCTATTTAATTTTGATTTTACTGTACATCCAACAGATTAACCTGTAGATTTCCCTTTTGTATACTCTTTATCAGGGCTTATTTTAAAGCCAGATTTTCAGCTCATTCAAAACAGAGGGATTACTGGTTTAAAAAAAAAGAAAAGAAGCAGCCTTAAGGGCAACCACCTGTAACAGCCTAGATGCAAAAAAAAAAAAAAAAAAGCCCTCACAACACTGTGGTTTCTCTGCTTCTGTGATCATCACCACACTGCATGCTGCACCATCTTTCTGAGGTGAATTCACAAGCAAGTTTTATAGACACTGCTTTTCTTTCCAATCAAGACACAAATTTTCTTTCAGTGGCAACCCACAGCAGTTGTGCACTGAAAGTCTGTATTCTTCTAAATTTGCCTCTCCCTCTCTGTCTTACCTCCATGATACCTGAACCAGGGCACCTAAAAATAGGGGGAGGGCTCCGGTCGGCTGCTTCTGTCTCCACTCCAACTGGGCCAGCCTTCTCATGGTTACTCAATTTACCACTCATTCCTCCTGGTGGTCATTAGTTTTATATTGTTTTCCTCAACTGTCCTCAAGTTTGCTTCATTCACTCCACTACTTACCTTTCAAATTCCAGTTTAAATATCCCTCCTCCATGATCTGACTCAAACCCAGGCATTCTGATTCTGCTGTGGGAGGCGAGCATCCCAAGCAGCATCTTAACTGGTGCACTTCACACCTGGCCTTCTGTAACTTGACCAGTGCAGGTCATTCTACATACCAGGCTTCCTCTTATTTGCTGCTGTACTCAAATCAGGCAGCACATCTTCATTTAATTGTTCCCTAATTGTTTCAAGAGCACTAGTTTTCTTTCCTAAGCTCCCAGGGTCAATTCCTTGAGGGCAGGGACCTTATCTTGAAATTCTGCTGTGCATTTTCCATTGTGTTTAGCATGGCAACTAATCAAATTCAATGCATACTTGCAATGCATATTTGAAGACATCCATCACAGGCATTCATTTAGTAAATGAGATAATGAAAATCCAGGTGCTGGCCAAAGGTAAATCATTACTGTTAATTCTCTCATTCATCATACGTAGACAGTAGCCACAGAGGCCAGAGAACGTAGTATTGTAGCTTTGACTTTCTTGGGGGAAGCCTGATAAACCTCAGACCATCTCATTTTGGAGCCAGCCATGAAATTCAGATTCACCTAGGGCTCTACATCAGGGGTTGAGTCCACCCCCAGGTCTCCTTCCCAGAGTGGTCAGCTTTACCTCTGAGAGGACACCAAAACTTTCAAAAAATCATATTGCAAGCACTATTTGCTCCTGATTTCAGCAAGACCCCCTTATAAATGGATGCAACTCAGCTCTTGTAGCTTGCAGGACAGGAAGAACTACCAAGATATAACCTTCACCAACTTACGGAGTGTAAAGAAAACTGGAGGATATTTTACTGATTATGTTAAATCGAAGACTTAGATTTTTAAACTCTAGCTTTTCCCTCTAGTTTCACAGGGAAAAAGAACAAGATAAGTATTTACATACTTCTTCCAAAACTTTGGGTTTCCCCGAGGGCATCTGGGGTATTGCTGCCACCACACCTTTGAAGTGCACCGGTGGGCAAACTCGCCGAGCTGTTTTCGCTGACCGCGCCATTTTTAAAGTTGCTGTCCTGTCTGCAGGGAGCTGGCCCGGCCCTGCGCGCGCTCTCTCTCTCTCTCTCCCCTTTCTCTTCACCCTTTCAAAGCCCGGTGAGAACGTGGAAACTCGGCTGAGACCGGGGAAGGCAAGGGGGGAGGGGTTTAAGACTGACAGGAGACGAGCAAGCAGTTAGCATTTTTTTCACTCTCCCTCTCACTCCTCAGGGCCAAAAAGTGCTGTTTTTCAAGTCGGAAGTGCGGGGGCCGTCGGCTGCCTTTCCAACTCGGTCCACAACAGGAGTCCACAGGGCCAGGGTTAGGAACTTCGCGGCTCGGCCATTAACCTGAACGACGGACTAGTCAGAGGAACGCGAAAAGCCAGGCCCAAGGCACCTGTTGTCATGGAAACCAGGGCGCTGGTCTCCCCGGCGACCTCGTCCCTAAGGAGGGGGCGGGGCTGGAAGCCGGGCGGGCCAATGAGGTCGAGGAGGGAGCAGGGTCGAAGATCCGCGGTCCTCCCGGAGCCCGGGAAGGGTTGAGTGACAGGGCCGGAGGGCGGGGCCGGCGCGGGCGCCCGAGGTGGAGCCGGAGTGGTGAGAGTAGCTCCGCCGGCCGCGCGGCGGCTGACACACCATGATTACGGCCCCCAGAGACCGTAGGGCTGGTGCGCTGCACTCCCAGGCTCCCGGTTCCGCCTCAGCCGCGCTCGGAGTCGGCTGCAGGAGTTGAGGAGCCCGCGCCGGAGAGTTTGGGCGAAAGCTCTTCGAGCGGTTTCGAGCAGCAGGAGGGCGCCGAGGGTGCGCGAGCGCTCCAGGGTCAGGCAGTAGTAGTCTGGGGTCGCCGCCGGAGGGGCTGTTTCCGAGGCGTGGAGGAGGAGGAGGAGATGCTGCTTCTCTTCTCTCCCTCCCCAGGCTCCTGCACCAGCTCCAGCAGCCCACGCCCGAAGCCGCTCGGCGGAGAAGAGGTGGTGGCTCTCGGCGCCCGCGGCGGCTGCCGGCGGCCCGCCCCGACGCCGCGTCCCCGCAGCCCTCGCCCCGCGCCGCAGTGGTAGGACCGGGTCTCCGGACGAGCCGGTAAGGACGCCCGCGGCCCCGCGCGCTGCATCTCGTGGTCGGCCCTCCGGGCTCGGGCTCCGGCCCCTGACCTCCAGCCCTCGTGCCCTGGTGGAAGGAACTTCTCTGTGGTTTTGGTGGTGGGGTGTGTGTGTGTGTGTGTGTGTGTGTGTGTGTGGTCAGGTGGGGGTGGGGAAGGACGAGGTGGGCTCCGGTGGAGGCAGATCCGTCTCCGCCAGGTCCTTGGGGCTGAAAGCTCGGAGGGGGCGCGAGAGCGGGGTTGGTGAGGGACAGTGACAGTGCCCCGTCCTGCTCACGCGGCTCTGCTCTGTGCGTGCTGGAGGGCAGGGCTCCCGGAGTCTGTTTCTAATTTCTGTAAATGATTGTGGGGATGGTGTGGTTAGAGGCCGCCCAGAAGAATGTGTCTGTGTAAGGGCTCGGCGAAGAGGGGGTGGGGTGGCGGGGAAGGGGCAGGCGGAGACACCGCCCGATGCGGGCGCTTTTATTGCTTTTCTTCTCCTGGCTCAAGTTTACGTTCTGCCCCCCTCCTCCCCTTTGCTCGTTACGGGGTTGCTATAAGCGCGTGAAGCTGGAACGCTACCCTTCCACCGAAGTCGAGAGAATTCCTCCGAGGCGTAGTTAATGCTGGGGAAGGGAGGATGGGGAGGAACAGTATCGCCACAGGAGATTTACTGCGAGCCAGTTTTCATTGGCCTTCCATGATTGACACCTCCACACACTTCCAACTAATCTCTTCCACAGCCTTGTGTCATTTTCTTTTAATTGCATCTTTGAAACAACAAACGCGGTGACTTCATAGGGAGCTTGCCTGGAGCTGAGTTTACCTCTCAGAAAATGGGGCAATCGGGTTTGTTTTCAAGGCGGCACCCAAACAAAATGTAGGCCACCGGATCTGTGGGATGAAGAGCACTGCTAACTAATGAACAAGATGTTAAAATTTGTATCTAGAGTGCTTATGAGAGGGTGGGGGGAGAGGAAAAGTCGGTGAATTATGAAACAAGTGCTGATACTTTCCCAAATTCTTGAGGGCTGCGTTGGCAGGGTCAAGGTGAAAACTTTGTTGGTGCTTGTTGGCTGCTTGCTGTAGTACTTAATGATACAAATTATTTCTAATTTTAATATCAACTTACTGATTCCCTAAGTTATTACAGAGGTGCATTGACTACTTTAGCCTTCCATCCTAAATTTACGATTTTTTCATAACATTGTGTTCTACCTTTGATGTTGGAGGCTTTGGAGGAGTATGTGGGAAGACAGTAAGATGAAAGCTGGAAAAAGATAAAAAATAGGGTTAGTTATTAAAAAAAGACTATTTTTATAATATCTGTTACTTTGACAAGAAGAGACTTACGACTTTCTTTACGTATGACTTTTCTTTTTTTAAGCTTATCAGATTTATGTTTATCATGAAAATTTTTACTTGTAAAACCCACCTATTCCTTGGAGGTTATTAGTATGCAAGAATGTAAATGGCTTTTCATGTCACAGGTAACATGTATATAACACTTGCCATTAAAATCAGCATGAATTTAAAGGACAGATTTTAATACTATACAGTTGTAAAACTTTTTTTGAGAGTTGCTCATTTTTTTTAAAGGATTTATTTATTTATTTGAAAGAGTTCTTCCATCTGATGGTTCACTCCCCAATTGGCCACAACGGCCGGAGCTGCCGATCCGAAGCCAGGAGCTTCTTCCCGGTCTCCCACGCGGGTGCAGGGGCCCAAGGGCTTGGGCCATCTTGTACTGCTTTCCCAGGCCATAGCAGAGAGCTAGATCGGAAGTGGAGCAGCCAGCTCTCAAACCGGCGTCCACATGGGATGCTGGCACTTCAGGCCAGAGCGTTTACCCGCTGTGCCACAGCGCCGGCCCCAACTCATTATTTTTTAAGATTTATGTACTTATTTGAAAGAGAGATCTTTCATCTGCTGGTTCACCTCTTAAATGGCTATAAAAGCCAGGGCTGGGCCAGGTTGAAGTGGGAGCCAGGCACTTCTTCAGGGTCTCCTGTGTGGGTGCAGGGGCCCAAGTATTTGCGGCACCCTCCATGGCTTTCCAGGCACATTGGAGAAGCAGCTGGGACTCAAACCAGTGCTCATATGGGATGCCAGTACCAGCCCCCTGAGAATTGCTGCTTAAATGCAACATGTGAATGTGAGCATTAGCTAATAGCTGTTTTGGGGTAGAAGATGGGTATTTATCTTGAAATGAGTGGAATTTATGTATTCTTTGCTTGTTAAGAAAAACATGTCTTACTTTGTTCCATCTCCGACAGGTTAAGGAATAGATTAGGCAAGCAGAAAGAAGCTGTAACTGAGTGAATATTTTTCCAGTTCATCTCTCACTCCTCCTCCCTCTTCCTCTGCTCCTCCTCCACACTTCCTCCTCTTTTCTTTCTTCTCCTTCTTCCAGTGCATAATTTTGAAATAAAGTACAAAACATCTTTATGGTATAATTGAATTATAATTAAGACCACTTGAAATGGAAAAGAAACCACAATCATACTGTAGGCCAGTACATTCAGAAATGACTCCTGTTGATGTGTTCTTATTTTGGAAAAAGTCTGTGCTGTTAATTACAATAGTGAGTTGAAAATATTCTGTCATGCCTCTGATGTAACCAAATATGACTCATATGAATTAATGTCACTTCACAAGGAAGGGACCTGGGAAAGGAGAAAAGACACTGAATCTAGCATAGAATAATCAGTGCTGGTGGGAAGGGTGAGAATCTGGATTTCCCATTTTTTTTCTTAAAACTGTTCTTTCTTAGTTTGAATATTAAGATGAGTTGAACAATGCAGGAGCTAGATTTTAAAAAGATAACTTTTTTTTTTTTTTAAGATTTATTATTTGAAAGGCAGAGTTACAGAGAGGCAGAGGAAGAGAGATCTTCCATCCACTGGTTCACTCTGTAGATGGCTGCAATGCCCAGAGCTTCTTCTGGGTCTCCCACGTGGGTGCAGGGGCCCAAGGACTTGGGGCATCTTCTGCTGCTTTCCCAGGCCATAGCAGAGAGCTGGATCAGAAGTGGAGCAGCTGGGACTCGAACTGGCACCCATATGGGATACCAGCACCACAGGTGGCTACTTCGCCTGCTATGTCACAGCACCAACCCTAAAAGATAACTCTTTTTTTTTTTTTTTTTTTTTTTGACAGGCAGAGTGGACAGTGAGAGAGAGAGAGACAGAGAGAGAAAGGTCTTCCTTTGCCGCTGGTTCACCCTCCAATGGTCGCCGCTGCAGCCGGTGCACCGCGCTGATCCTGGCAGGAGCCAGGAGCCAGGTGCTTTTCCTGGTCTCCCATGGGGTGCAGGGCCCAAGCACCTGGGCCATCCTCCACTGCACTCCCTGGCCATAGCAGAGAGCTGGCCTGGAAGAGGGGCAACCGGGACAGAATCCGGCGCCCCAACCGGGACTAGAACCCGGTGTGCCGGCGCCGCAAGGTGGAGGATTAGCCTATTGAGCCACGGCGCCGGCTCCTAAAAGATAACTCTTAATGAGTAAATCAGTACAGTGCTTTTAATGGCCTAAATTAAAGTTATAAGTTCCATACTCACTGTAAATTTGTCACATCAAAACTGATCTATAAACTGCTTTGGGGGGAGGAGTTCCAATATCCTTTGAGTTTGGAGGCAAAATGAAAAAATCTTTAAGACCCTTTTTTTAATTCCCTTTTGTCAGGTCTTGTGAATAAGCATACCACTTTTTAAAAAGATTTATTTATTCATTTATTTGAAAGGCAGAGTTATAGAGAGGCAGAGAGAAAGAGAAGTCTTCCATCTGCTGGTTCACTCCCAAGATGGCCGCAATGGCCGGAGCTGCGCTGATCTAAAGCTAGGAGCTAAGAGCTGCTTCTGGTTCTCCCATGCAGGTGAAGGGGTCCAAGAACTTAGGCCACCTTCTACTGCTTTCCCAGGCCATAGCAGAGAGCTGAATCAGAAATGGAGCAGCTGGGACTCCAACTGGCATCCATATGGGGATGCTGGCACTGTAGGCAGCAGCTTTACCCGCTTGGCCGACCCCAAGCATGCTATTTTATCTTGTTCAATCCAGACATTACTCTCTGACAAATATGTCTAAATTCTAGAAGTCTTCTTTAAATTTACTTTCTTATCTGTAAATAATTAAAAAAAAATTTCTGCTGGCGCCGTGGCTCACTAGGCTAATCCTCCACCTATGGCGCTGGCACCCCGGGTTCTAGTCCCGGTTGGGGTGCCAGTTCTGTGCCGGTTGCTCCTCTTCCTGTCCAGCTCTCTGCTGTGGCCCGGGAGTGCAGTGGAGGATGGCTCAAGTGCTTGGGCCCTGCACCGGCATGGGAGACCAGGAGGAAGCATCTGGCTCCTGGCTTCGGATTGGCACAGCATGCTGGCTGCAGCGCACCGGCCGTGGTGGCCATTTTGGGGGTGAACCAATGGAAAAAGAAAGACCTTTCTCTCTGTCTCTGTCTCTATCTCTCTCTAACTCTGCTTGTCAAAAAAAAAATATTTCTGTTTATTTGAAAGGCAGACAGAGACTATCAGAAAGAGATTCTCCATCTACCAGCTCATTCCCCAAATGCCTGCAAGCTAGGACAAAGCCAGGAGCTCAGAACTCAATTTGTGTCTCCCACGTGGGTGGAAGAGAGCCAGGTACTCAAGCCGTCACCTGCCACCTCCCAGGGTATGCATCAGCAAGAAACTAGAATTGAAACCACTCTGATACAGGTCGTGGCCTTCCCAAGCAGCATGCTAACACTGCACCAAACAGCTACCTACTGCTTAATAAATGACCTCTCATTTTCTTTCGAGCTTAGTGGTACTCAACTCTGGCTGTATCTTAGAATCACTTGTATCGCTTTTAATCTTTATGCCCAGGCTTCAACCAAGACCAGTTAAGCTAGAATCTTTGCAGGTGAGACTTAGGCATCATGCTTTTAGAAATTCCTTTAAAAATTACAACAAGGAGCCAAGTTGGAAGCCAATGCTATAGACCCTACTAGAAGGTAAGTGTAGAAAAGTCGG